GAGCGGGGCCGGGAGGGCTCAGTCCGGGCAGCCGCTGAGGGAGCGGAGCCGGGAGGGCTCAGTCCCGGGGATGCTGAGGGGAGCGGGGCCGGGGGCTCAGTCCCGGGGATGCTGAGGGGAGCTGGCGGCGCTGCCCCGCCGCTCGCAGTGTGCACACAATGGAGCAATGGAGCAGGTTGAACGGGCGCGGGGCCGCGGCAACACCGGGGCTGGATCTGGGCTCGGGCGGCCGCAGCCGCTCGCGGGCGGTCGGGACAGGACGGGCCGCTCCGCTCCGCCGAGGCCGCTCCGGGTTTCGGCAGGGCCCGCGGCGGGGGCGGGCCGGGCCGGGCCGGGCCGGGCGGGGCGGGCGGCAGCGCTGGGGTTTGAACGGAGCAGGTTGAGTGCCCGCACTGGGCACCGGGCCGTGCGTGCGGCCGCGAGGGACAGCACCGGACCGAACCGAGCCCAGCCGGCGGCCGCGGTGAGTGAGGGCGGACGGGATCCCCGAGCCCCGTCCCCGCGTGCGGCCCCGCGGGCGCTCCCGAAGCGGGACGGGACCGTGTCCCTGCGAGCCTCCGCTGGGCTTTCCCATGCGGTTGATGCTGGTTTCTCCCGGTGTTCGCGGCCCAGAGCTGAGGTTTGCGAGGTGTACCTTCTTTTCAGGCTGTTTCACACGGCTCCGCGTGCCCCGAGCGCTCGCTGTGCGGAGGAGCCGCTCCGGGGCTCTCCCGGGCGCCGCTCGCAGCCGCTGCCGCACGCAGGGAGCACCGCCGGGATGAGCTCCAGCCGCTCTGCCCCGTGTGCCGGGGCGGCCCCTGGGCCGCGGGCACTGAAACCGGAGCGAGCCCAGCCCGAGCCCAGCCTGTGTTCAGTGAGGCTGAGTGGAAAATCCCGACCCCCCTGAGGAGCGGCCAGCAGTGCCGCGGGGTGGGAGCGCGCCTGTCCCCAACCGGGACGGTGCTGAGAAAAGTCAAACCTCCTGCTGGATTGAGTCTTCCCTAAAAATACCTTATTTCTAATTGCCTACTCCATAAACAATTTTATTTTATTTTTTTTTTTTAAAAAGAAGTATGATGAGGTAGGAATTAAACTCCATGCATATTTTATTGTAATTAAGCTGTGCAGTTCTGGGATCTTCAACTCCAGCTGGCCGAAAAGTGTTTTAGAAGAAGTGTTATTAAATTCCAGGGAGAAAGATATAAGCCTTATCTGATGGTCCACTCATAGGCTCTTTGTTTAAAGTGTGCTTTAACTCCCGAGTTATAAAACACAATGTTTGCCTGTTTTCAGGGGGCCCTCCTGCTTTACTTGTCCTTGGGACTCCTGGCCCACATGTTGCAAAACTTAGGAAATGAAAGAAAAGTTAAGGTGTTTGTTCTGAAATGTGAAAGAATAACTGCAGGTAACAGTACTGAAAAGAGAGGCAGGCTTCAACCCTGCAGTGAGGCACCTGAGTTAAAGTTAATGTGGGATATGGAAAGAAAATCTTGGCTTTTTGGGAGGTGAGAGGCAGCAGAGTGCATGCACGCTATTAAAAACTCTTCCTGGGTCTTTAAGCATCAGCTCCCTGGAATAAGTTTGAGAGTGATACTTTAATAAAATCTGTTTTTAACTTCTGAAGGATGCTCTTTTCCTACATTTAAAAATGCCTGTAGGCTGTTACAGAAAGAAATGTTAAGTTTTATCAACCGAAGATGCGCAATTCGTGAGAAATGATCCGTTCACGGGTGCTTTGTGGTTCTGTGCTACCTATTGTCTATAAAAATGGGGATCAGCTGGTGGGTTGGGATCAAGTGGTGCACAACTCATTATTTTAACAATAGTGGCTCGGCTTGGGAGGTTGCCTAGGGAATTGATTTAATGCTGCTGTCCTTTCAGCCGTTGAGGCGGGTGTCCTGCCATGACTTTTTGATCAAAATCACCAGTATTTGAGAAGGAGAATAAAATTTTCACTCCATAAAAAGCAAAGGAGAGGCCACTTGCTATTAACAGCTCCCAATTTTGCATGAGCTGATCTGTAATGTAAAACACTGTCAAGAAATACTCGTGGCAGTAAAACAGTTTCATGAGCATCAAAATACAGAATGAAAATTAGTCCTCTGTTCAAGACTTGGCTTCCCCTTATTTCTGGGAATAGCTTTAAGCTGTGTGTTTCTGTTGGCTCTACAAAGTAATCTTTCTATAAATGGAACAGTTTTCCTTTAATGAAATCTGAATAAGCTGAGTTTTCTCTAAGGTGTCACCCAAGATCCAATTTAAATTGATAACGTTGATGGCACAGCCAGGGCACAGCCACGTGGGGTAGTGTACTGGTGTGGAGATTTGTTTGTTTGTTTGTTTGCTCTGGGCTTTTTAATAAGTTTATACAAGCCTGAATGTTAATAAAACAAAACCAAACTCTCCAAATTAGGAAAGCAAATATCTGTTTCCAGGTTTGCTGGAGACCTGCTGTACTGTCTGCAGTAGGACAGCATTTTCTGCCTGTGCCTTCAGAGGAGGTGAGACCTTCATTCCTCATTGCCTGGGAGCTCCTTACAGAAACCCC